CTGAGATCGCACCATTGCACTGCAGCCTGGGCGACAAAAGAGAAACTCATAAAAAAAAAAAAAAAAAAAAAAAGGCTGTTATTAGATGGGTGGCTTGCTTTTCCCAAGTTGGAAAGCTCAAATGGCATTTAGTTGAGCCAGCTCAACTCCCAGAATGAACTGTCTTACAGGGATTGTGAAACCCAGTGACTAGGAATCTTTGTTTGCCATAGACAGAATATACTATGGTTAACATGTGAAAGATGGAGAAAGAAACTGGTAAATAAGATGCCATGCTGCTTCTGATAAATTCCCGACCTTCCTTTTCCTTAAGGGCAGGTGAACCCCTTTAAAGCAGAGGGGTTGGAGAAGTATCGGCAGCCTGCTGTTAGTTTCCTGACAACCTCAGGAGTCTCATCTTGTCGGATTTATTGTTCTGTTGCACAGAAACAAATAGCTGCAAGCTTCTTGTATATTTGGAGGAGGAGAGGAGAGGAGGGGGAAGAAGAGGGGAAGGGAGAGAATATGAATCAGGAAACAGAGAAGACAGGAGATTCAAAAATACAGGGTAGCTTAAATGTAGAAAGGGCTTAGACATCACACATCTTTTAGAAGAGATGAGAAGTTAATGGCTGCATGGACTGTGTTTCCTTTACTTTTGGTGCAGGATTTAAGGATGTCTGGTATTAGTAAAAAACATCAGCCAGGCGCGGTGGCTCAGGCCTGTAATCCCTGCACTTTGGGAGGCCGAGGTGGATGGATCATGAGGTCAGGAGTTCAAAACCAGCCTGGCCAACATGGTGAACCCCATCTCTACTGAAAATACAAAAATTAGCTGGACGTGGTGGCAGGCGCCTGTAGTCCCAGCTTCTCTGGAGGCTGAGGCAGGATAATCACTTGAACTCAGGAGACGGAGGTTGTGGTGAGCTGAGATCGCGCCACTGCACTCCAGCCTGTGTGACAAGAGCGAAACTCTATCTCAAAACAAACAAACAAACAAACCATGAAGTTGCATGTCTCTGCTCAATTTCTCTGCTTCTTCCCACAGATTGCAAGAAATTAAAGCATTAGATGTCCTTAGAAGTGACTCCAGAGAAACTGTGAATGTGGAAGTCTTCTGTGGAGTTGGGATGGAGTTGGGAAGGAAGGGCAAAAAGGCAGAGCTGATGTGATTGGCAGAGTCAGCTGTTCACTACAGTAACAGGAATCAGCTCATTGTGTAATGAGGATAGAGGACACTTTCCTTAAAGAACCATCTCCTGCTAGCATAGCTGTTGGGCAAAAACTCCACCATAATATTATAATGGATAAGGAAGTAAATGAGGAAAACATTTTTTTCTCTTTTTTTGTAGAATATGTATATACTACACATACACACACACACACTGTACTGCAAACATTAAACAAATTATGAGTTTGGTGTGCGTATCTATTTAGGAATAGAAATCACTGGTTCAGCACAGTGATCGGCTTGGCTGTGTAGGAGGGAGGAAGGGCGCCCAGCTGGGTGGGACTAATTTCCTAAGCGACACCGAGCAATGCACTAAACTACCCCAGAATCTGGTTGCTGAGTATCTGATATTCTGGTTTGATTTTTTTTATGGTTGGTCTAGGCATTCGTTTTTTCAAAAGACCCCTGGGATTTTAACATACAGCCAGAGTTTACAACCATTGATCTAGGTGTAACAAAGACAAGGTTTTTAAAACACTAAAGGATCGAGTTTTCATTTTCGATTCAATTTCTATTTCTTTGCAACCTTCCATCCCTAAGCCTGAGCCATAATGGAAAGGAAGGCAGTAAAATTCTTTAAACTCCTATCAACATATCAGGAGCCAAGCACAGTGCCAGGTGCAGTGGCTTATGCCTGTAATCTCAGCAGTTTGAGAGACTGAGGTGGGAGGATCACTTGCTTTGAGGAGTCTGAGGCTGCAGTGAGCTGTGACTGAGCCACCACACTCCAGCCTGAGTGACAGGGTGAGATTTTGTCTCTCTCTCTCTCTTGCTCTCTCTCTTTTTTTTTTAAAGAGCCAAGTATGATAAGATACGTCATGGAGATTGTTTATCTATATGTTAAGGGATGGGAAAAATTAGGATATAATATCCAGGAAAAGGAAAGCATGTTTCTTCATGACCTGGAGGCAAAGAAAGAGAAAGGTAAGATACTGAGCTCAGCAGGTGCCTCATTTTTCTCCTCTGTGGCAGAAACTCGAAGAAGGAGAGGTAACAGGGAGGAATAAAAAACCCCACACAAGTATGAGGTAGCCTGTGAGGTAGTTAGTCCCATGCCCATAGAAGAAGCTCCACATGTGATCAGAGTCAACATGAATTTTATATCATATGGGTGGTAGCAAGAAAGATGAGCTTAAGGCAGTGCTTCCCAACCCTCTCATGTGGCAGTCGAGGCATCTGGAATTTCTTGCATGCCACAGTAGTAAAAGGCACAGAGGATCTAAGAATAGTGGGTGGATGGGAGCCTGAGGTTGGGACAAAGGCCACAGTGTGCAGGGATTTTATGCTGGAAGCAGATGTCTGAAACAGACTTCAGCAGTGAGTTCCAGGTGATGAGATGGTACCTGTTGCAGCTGTCCTGGGAGCAGCCCACACTAACCTGCCTATAGCAGAAATCGACAAGGATCTGGAAGATGTTCTGCAGGTGCTTGGCCCTCAGGCCCCACTGCACAAGACTGTAAACACAAAGCCTCTGGACTCCAAACTCTCTTCCAAAACCAGTGTTGGATAGCAGCAGAGAAAGGCTGAGAAAACTGAAAGTGTGATCATTTATCCACAAATGAGTGAGTCATCGAAACCAACTATTTTGATATGGTGGCATGCAGAGCACATGCTTTGAAACCTATCCTTCAAATAGGTTTCTGAGAAAACTATGTCAATTATAGAAAATACAGAAACTGTATTTTCTTTATACATCTGAGGAAGCTGAACTAATTTGAACTCTAAAACTCCTTCCATAATGAGCTAGGATTCCAAATCAATTTTACTTCACACCAGGGGGAATAATTAACAAATGGCCCCGGAAATTGTGTCAACTATGGAAGGCATAAAGTGGAAAGATCCTCTCCCCAGAGGAACATATCTGACTGTCAGTCCTGAAAGAAATTAGAAGTTTCATCCTCATGTTTAAAAGATGATGCCCTTTTAAATTTGATTAATGAACCATTAGCTTACATCTGACATTCCCACTTGAGCCAATTATTAACACCACTAATCAGCAAATTAATAAGAAAGCATTGATTTTAAAAGTAAATGTTATTAGAGACTGAACTGTAAGATATGTTTTATAACCCGGCTCCCATCCCAGGAAAATAAAATCTGCTAGTTCAAAATTTGTTACTAATGACTAAATGGTTAAAATAGTAAGCTGGATCTGGGATGCTTGTCTCAGAGGCCTTGTAATTTCTAAGGAGGCCTCATGGGACAGCTAATGGTTCAACAGATCTATGATATCTAAGTCAACTAGGAAATTCTTGAAGATTAAAAAAGCTTAGAGGCCCAAAGTTGTCTGGTATACTTCTGAATAATTAAGGTCATGACTCAGTGTTGATAACCCCTGAATAACTGCTTTCAGAAGTCATGCACTGTGGTAAGTGAAATATGGCAATAATTTTTCTTGAATTCTCTTATGTATTCAATAAATATTTCTTTCTGCATCTAATTGTCAGATCTTGTGACACATGGTGAATTACAGAAACGAAGGCATAAGCTGTATCCCAGTAACTTCCTGATACAATAAGAACGACAGACACATGAATAATCAGAATATGGGAGCGTAATGACTAAGTGGAAGTTGACACAGAGCATTATAGGACAACAGAACATTCCAGACATCCATTTTTTTTTTTTTTTTCCTGAGACAGAGTTTCACTCTTGTGCCCAGGCTGGAGTGCAACAGTGCAATCTTGGCTCACTGCAACCTCCGCCTCCTGGGTTCAAGTGATTCTTTTGTCTCAGCCTCTCAAGTAGCTGGGATTACAGGTGGGTGCCACCACACCCAGCTAATTTTTTGTATTTTTAGTAGAGACAAGGTTTTGCCATGTTGGCCAGGCTGGTCTCGAACTCCTGACCTCAGGTGATCCACCCGTCTTGGCCTCCCAAAGTGCTGGGATTACAGGTATGAGTCACTGCGCCCGGCCAAGACAGACATCCATTCTTACGCGCAGTCTGTTGGTTCTCCTCAACACGGCAAACAATATTCCTGTAAACGTTGTTTTTAAGCAATTTTTCAATCTCGATGAGACTATGTTGTTTTTGGTTACTTAAAAAAAAATCAATTATCT